CTGCATTTATTCTGTTGAGGTGTTCAACATTATTCCATATGTTTGTGAGGTAGGTCAGTGGTTGACACTGCGGTCTCCCCAGATTCCTACCCTGGTTGTGAGAGTCGGCAAATTAGGTTTAGTTGGTGAGTGTGCCCATGATGGAGTGGCATCCTGTCCAGAGTGTGCACATGATGGACTGGCATCCTGTCCAGAGTGTGCCCTGCCTCATGCCCTGCTCTTCTGGGAGAGGCTTCAGCCTCACTCTGACACTGTCCGAGGTAAGTGGTTTACACTGTTAGAATTACCCCTGAATTCTTTGTTGTCAAAAAGGGATGAGGTGACGTGACTTTGTTAAACATCCAACCCGTGGAAAGGACATTCTGGACAGTGCAGCCCTTCATTTCCTGTACTTCTGAGCTGAGGGAACTGCCCTGAGAATCACTACATTTGCATTCATTCATTTAGCAGGTTCCTTTGTGCAAGGCCAGGTAGAAAATGCATCACAAACAGACTGCTGTGGTGGCACAGGGCACTCCCACAGACACAGTAATGAGCACAACCAGTCCCCGAGGACAATTTAGAGAGTCCAGTTTGCCAGAATTGTATGTGTTTGGAGGGAACTGAGAAAGACCATTAAAAATCCAAAGGAGTTCACTCTGCAACCCCAGAGATCTTCTCAGTAACTGTAACACTTTGAATTAACAACGTAGGAAAATAAGCTCTCTACATTTTCAAGGAAACAGGCCAAACGTTCATGCTTTTTGGAAGGAGCTGCATGACATCAGAGGCAGGGGTGTTGCTACAACTGGGCAGGGACATGGCTACAACTGGGCAGGGACATGGCTACTGGTGGGCAGGGGCATGGCTACAGGTGGGCAGTGACATGGCTACAGGTGGGCAGGAGCATGGCTACAGGTGGGCAGGAGCATGGCTACAGGTGGGCAGGAGCATGGCTACAGGTGGGCAGTGACATGGCTACAACTGAGCAGGGGCATGGCTACAGGTGGGCAGGAGCGTGGCTACAGGCGGACAGAGGGATGGCTACAGGCGGGCAGGGGCATGGCTACAGGTGGGCAGGGGCATGGCTACTGGTGGGCAGGGACATGGCTACAGGCGGGCAGGGACATGGCTACTGGCGGGCAGGGACATGGCTACTGGTGGGCAGGGACATGGCTACTGGTGGGCAGAGGGATGGCTACAGGTGGGCAGAGGGATGGCTACAGGCGGGCAGGGACATGGCTACAGGCGGGCAGGGACATGGCTACAGGTGGGCAGGGGCATGGCTACAGGTGGGCAGGGACATGGCTACAGGTGGGCAGGGACATGGCTACAGGTGGGCAGGAGCATGGCTACAGGTGGGCAGGAGCATGGCTACTGGTGGGCAGTGACATGGCTACTGGTGGGCAGGGGCATGGCTACTGGTAGGCAGTGACATGGCTACTGGTGGGCAGGGGATGCCAATAACCCTAAAAAGATGGTCACTGCCCACCCAACAAAGACTTTATGGTTGCTACATCACCACCCCCTCCCCCCCCACCACCACCCTCGGGTCGAAAACTTTTATTCACCAGGGGATCAACTCGAACACTGGTGCCCACCCAACAAAATGGCATGCTGGTGACGCCACTGCCCCCATAAACAGTGGTAATCTGTGGGCTGGTTTATGAGGCTGCGCTGGCTGCGGGCCGCCGCCCCGTCCGGTCAGTGGGGCCCTACGAAGACGTGCCTCTGCATGGCCTGCGGGAGACAGCAGGACCCCACACAGGCAGCATGTTTCCCTGGCCGTAAACAGAGCCCCAACACACATGGCCCTAATAAGGCCACAGATTGGGCCGCTATACACCTCTGTGCATGCGTGTGCTGTTGAGGTACACAGACATCCGTCTGTAAAGCATTTTAAGGGTGGCTAGGTGCCCAGTGACATGTGGGCTGGGAGGACCACCTGGGAAACAAAATATCCGGGGGAATAAAAAAACAACAGCACACTGTCCAGGCTGCCCCCATGAAATACAGTTATGCTCACCAGTGCGGCAGTTTAATATGGGCTTCATACACAGTGACTCAAACATATGACAATTTCAAATAAAAAGGAATTGTGCATAGAATTCTATTTCAATTTGTTTTAAAACAAAACAGCAAACCTGCTCACGTCGAGTCATAATCTGGCAAAGTGAAATTTATATAAATATCTAACTGCTATGCTGCTCCCCATCCCTGGAAATACTTCATGTTTTCCAAGATATTCTCTCTGTTTTAAGGGATGACTTTCAATGGAGATATCACAGCTGAAGCATTTGGCAGAGAGCATCATGGGCCCTAGGCGATCTGGCACCGTGGGCGAAATGGAGTGATTAAACGGGTCCCGGCTCCTGTCCCTCTGTGTAAGCTACGCATATAAAAACTCATTAGGTCGTAACGTGTCCGCTGTTATAGCAGGCTGCAAAGCACTCAATAATCTGCGGAAAGTGAAGTCAGATCCTCTCATAAAACCCCTGGGGAACTTTCTGATTAGATCCGAACTTTTCTGCAAAAAAAGTGGGGATTTCGTTAATCGTTTTTAGCATGTCAAATTTTCTCCATTCCTAGGGCTACAAAACAACACAGGGGTTAGGGGGGGATTATTGTATAGGATTTGTTTGTAATTATTTTTATTGTCCTATGATGGAAACTCGTGGAGTTTCCTAGCTATGGGTTAATGATGGTTGGTGGGCTTTTGCTCCTAGCTGTGGGGTTCCCTATGAAATTGGATGGTTTCCTGCTGCCCAGATGTGGCCTAGGATCTGGCTGTCTGGACAGGCTCCCTAATTCACTGTGCCGTCAGTGAGCGGTCAACATCTCCCACTGGGTGAGGATTGGATAAGGGAGTAGGAAGGGACGTGCTCTGTCAGAAGGTTGCTTTTCAGCAGGTCTTCAAATGCCTACAGAATAGCTCAGGTATCACCACATCCTTGGCTATGAATGTGTGGAAGTCTTTCGGTGCCAGCTTGCACCTTTTAATATGAAATAAATAATAATTGAGTGAGCCGTTCTTGTACATCCTGTCCCAAAGAGATCACTGACCTGAATTATCCAGGCAAGCAGATGCCTGGTTTTTCTCATTCTCTTCATTTCAGTTTCCCAAAATCCACACCCTGATATACAGTCTCTCCATATACAGTATATGGACAAGAGTATCAGGACACTTGGCCATTACACCTACAGGATCTTTTATGACATCCCATTATAAACTCACAGGCATCAATGAAGTTGATCCCCCCTTTGCAACTATGTATAAGAGTTGCCACTCTTCTGGGAAGGCTTTCCACAAGACCTTGGTGTGTGTCTGTGGGAATTTTTGCCCATTCATCCAGCAGAGCATTTGTGAGGACAGGCACTGGTGCTGGGCGTGAAGGACTGGTTTGCCGTCTCCGTTCTAGTTCATCTCAAAGGTGTTCACACCAAACTCACCCAAACATGTCTTTATCTTTATCTTTAAGACTGAAGGCACAGTCATGCTGGAACAGAAATGGGCCTTCTCAAACTGTTCCCACAAATTTGGGAGCATAGAATCATCCAAAATGTCTTGGTATGTTGAAGCACTATGAGTTCCCTTCACTAGAACTAAGTGGTCTAGCCCAAATCCAGAAAAACAACCCAAACCATCATGCCTCCTCCACCAAACTTTTACAGTTTGGCACAATGCAGTCAGACAGGTATCATTAGCCTGGCATCTGCCAAACCCAGACTTGTCCATTAGACTGCCAGACAGAGAAACATGATTCATCACTCCACAGGACACGTTTACAATGCTCGAGAGTCCAGTGGTGCTGTGTTTTACATCACTCTATCCGATGCTTGACATCATGCTTAGTAATCTGTGGCTTGCATGCAGCTGCTCGGCCATGGAAGTCCATTCCATGCAGCTCCTGTCGCACTGTTCTTGTTCTGGGGTTAATGCCAGAGGAAGTTTGGAACTCTGCAGTTATTGAGTCAAAAGAGTGTTGGAGACTTTTATGCATTATGCGCCACAGCATTGTCGCTGAGCTTCTGTTGTTCCTGAACTCTTCCACTTTGTCATAATACCACTTACAGTTGGCCGTGGAATATCTAGCAAGGAGGAAACTTCACAAACTAGCTTATTACAAAGGTGGCATCCTATGATAGTACCACACTTGAATTCACTGCAGCTCTTCAGAATGACCCATTCTTTCAAAAAAGTTTGTAAACCTTACTGCATGGCTAGGTGCTTGATTTTACACATCTGTGGCAATGGGTCTGAATGAAAGATCCGAATTCAATGATTAAGAAGTGTGTCCCAATACTTTTGTCCATATAGTGCACATGTAAAGGGTGTTCAGATAAAAGCTACTTGTACTTTAAAACTCCCCTTTTAGTGCACAAGTGATATATTTTATTTTGCATTATTATGTCATATTTTTCCGGCTGAGAGAAACGCTTAATTACTGCATGGTCACAGGGACAGCAAACACGTAAGTCTGATTGCCAAGATGAAGTTGCGCGGCGTACCCAAGCAAAGATGCAGTCTTCTGTTCTTTGTAATAACTTTTGTGATTTTATTTGATCTAAATCATTTAAATTATTGTTTATATATATTTCGCATACTTCTCCACAAATATTCCCATTTTATTGTTCACGTTCAACTCGCAAATAAGCGAAACCACTAATGTCAACTTCGCGATTATGGAGAGGTGACTGTATTTAGAGATATAATTTTGAGTTACCAGAACTATGAAGGCTTGCATTAGCCTTGAACAAGCATTTTATAAGAATGAATACAATAATAATAAAGTTCTTGGGGAAATTACGCTGAACTTTAACAAGTTCTCTGTAGATGTGCAGGGCTCAGTTTTCCAGCTCACTGAACACTTCTTATATCGATTCCTCAACTAAGGGACCGCTGAATCTTCCAGCACAAAGACTGGATGCCGTACCTGCATGCGAGCGCCGGTGTCCGTCACTCAGCGCTCGGCGCGGCCAATAGGGCGGCGCACGCTGTTGGTGGCTCCTCCCTGGTGCATTATTGAAGTTTCTTTAGTTTCTCCAGCCTGAACAGCACGCAGTGTCTCTTGCTCGCAGTGTGAAGATAAAAAGCACAACAGCTGAGAGAATGTTTTCTAGGAATGTCGGTTTATGTCTGACCTTGTGTCTGTGGATTACAGCCCCCTGGAAGCTCAGCACCGTCGCTGCAAAGAAACAGGACGAGTCCTCCTTGAGCAGCAGCAGCATTTATCGAGCGAGATGCGCTTCCAGATGCCTGAGCCTGCACATCACACGCATATCTGCATTTTTCAAGCATTTTCAGGTAAAAGCACATGGACTTTGTAGCTCATCGAATCGGGGGAAGGATGTCACGCACACTATACTGTATAAACTGTAATTTGTTTTGATGCCTTAATGATAATACTTTTACGCGGTGTATCTCGTTTTTTCAGTTCTTTATGAACTTTAAGATGTCTTAAGGCACCTAATTTACATATCTGGAGTTCATATCAATTTATTTACAGAAAAACAGTAGGAATACTGATTATCCTACAACACTGCTATTTAACACGTAAAATTACTTAATCCAACTTTTGTTATAGCGTTAAGATATAGTTATCAAAGTTACTTAAAGTAAAGTTTGCTAGTGCTGCACCTAATTTAGTTATCTGTGACGTAATAGCTGTCGGCAATATAGAATTTCATCATTTTCCCCTCAGTTTAGGTACCTTAACATCCTTGTACGCGGATTGTTAAATTGATCCTTCATAATTAATGTCATTATGATTAGTGGAGTAATGGTTATCAGGCCTTTGGGAATCGAAGATTCGTACACATGTTGACAGTATACAGTCAATTCTTTAGAAATACACGCCTGTATACAGGTTACCAAAGCCACCTTTTTTACCACTTTATTACACCCACCATGCACAGCTTTTGTGAATGGGGGGTTGATATATATATATATATATATATATACACACACCTACACAGTACACATCAGTCTCAGCATTAATCGGCGTTGGCATGTAACCAAATATGTTCTATTAATTAACTTGGACGGGTATAAATGTAATCATAAAAAGTGCTTCTGTTTACTTTTAGAGATAAATATATAAACATTACATTTCTACCCCATCCCTGAATTCACATGTGAATAATTTGATTTTAAATAATAATAAAAAAAAAAAGATAACGTGGATTTTGCACGGGGGGTTAATATCCTTTTGGCATTTTGCATTAATATTCTGTTAATCTACTGGTAATCTGATTTTCCGGCCCGAAAATTGTAACCTGGGCGTTTCATAACCGCCCGCTATTTGCGAGGCATTAGACTACGATCCTCCGGGCGATGTCTGAAGTTGTTTTCACACTTCATTGGAGGCGGTTTTATGTAGAGCTTCCGAGAAAGGGAGCACTATATATCTGTCTTTCACTGTGTTGTAAAGCCGATTTAAAGTCTTTTGAATTCTTTAAAGGCTTTTCATAGGCAAATGCAGTTGGACAGAAATTACAGTATGTAACCGTGGAAGAAACATTTCAGACATAAATCTCATTGTGTTTGTAGCAAGTGTTACTAATTGCAACATGGTCGACTATTATAAACATTAGAAATCGATTGTTCTGGAAACACTATCGTTTTAATGAGGATGTTATTGCAAATAGGCAAGTACAGTGCTTTCCAGTTTTCAAGTTTCAGTCAAAGGCACAGTAAAATGGAAAATAATATAATCCATTGAGTTTAATCAAAAAATGAGTAACTCAGTTATGCACTGCATGGATTATTGAACAGTGGACCAGCATTGTGGCTGTCCAACACTAGGCACTTAAACTGAGAATCGGATTTTTTGATTTGTGATTTTGTGTCTTATGACCTGACTCTGTAAATCCTTTGCAGGCACAATCTCATTAAAGATCTTGACGTATGACTCAATGCAGATACCTCAGCGTCACTAATAATGTTCTGTCTATAAGGATAAAGACATATTTCATATAATTTAGCCACTGAAGTAATGGCCATCTGCTCATTTTAACAAAGGAGAAATTCTGACAGAAAACTCAAAGCATAATGAACCTTTGATAGAGGGAAGAGGTTCAACAGGTTTGCCAGTCTCAAAATAACTTGCTATTGCTGCATAAGCCGTGCATTAAGTGGAAGGTACTGTGATCTCAGCAGGACGTCCATGTGGAAACAGGAGGTCTGGTCAGCTGCAACAACACGCTCCACCTCCCTGTGTCCTGCCACCAAACGTCATAGTCACACGTCGTAGACTGCACCCTCTCTGTGGATGCTGGCCTAGGGAGATCACAACGTTGCTATTTAAAGAGCTCTCCGTTTTCTTTTGGCAAGGGTTGACCTCAACAAATTTCTCAGCATGTTCCATCTGTGGTTGTGAGGTGCATCATTACTGGGACTCTCCTGTCTTAGATGAGTAGACGTTACTGCAGGCCCACTCATATGAAGACGTCTGATGTCATTTGGAGGATGAAGTTTTAGCTTCAGCGGGTCATTTCTGTCATCCGTAGTTGCCTGAAATAATATGTTTTGTCCTGGCCTTCCAATTTACCTCTCATAAAAATAATAATCTTCTGCACATCCACCCCTTTTCAGTATCCATTTGTCCAAAATACCAATCCTTTGATTGCAAAACAGCCATATCCGTGTGATATGAAGCTGTGTTGTGAAAAAAAACACCCTACAAACTCTTACCGTTATACTTCTTAAAACAACTGGAAATCAGGAATTAGGTTTGTACATTCTTCAGCACAGATCAGATAATGCCTGGCATATTCTTTGGTAACAGTTATTGGGGTGGACGTGTTGTGCTTTTTTTTGTACACTTGGAATATGCCTGTCAATGCTGAGCATCCAAAAGAAAAAGCAAGTAACTACTGCAGTGGTGTGTTTGAAGGGTGATGCTGACGTTTATCTGTTGAGTGCTCCTCTACACCACCAATGGTGCACACACTATTCCAGGCAGCAAAGGATCAGCCCTCACATGCTGTGGCATGATATACTGTCAGGCCAGCCTATTAGTGCTTAATTCACTGAGAACTAGCTGAGTACCAAGTGAACAAACTCTACATTTAGATGGAGAAACAGCTTCTCTTAGATCCCGTCTTAGATGACACCCAAACACATTAGATCACCTTCTATTTCCTTACTATTCTGCCATAAAAGACTTTTATAATTTCCTTAATTCTAGGCCTTGACTATACAGGATTTTCTTAGAAGCTTTAAAAGTCAATAAAATAATGTGACATTCATTTTATACAGTAAATATTATTATCCAGCTATTTCATATGAAGTTACCCATAGTTCGTTTTGTGTGTAGATTAGCAGTACCAGTATTTGGGACAGAGTGCAGTCTTCTCTAGCATGTGAAATCTCTTAATGTCTGACCATATTCAAGGACGGCTTTTGTTCATATGTAGATGTGTATTTTAACACATTCTCAAGTGTTTAAACGATCCCTCTGTTCTCCAACAACAGAGAAAGCATCTACCTCATGTGAGATTATTTTTAGGAGGTAGTCATAAGTCTAAAAATAAAGGTGTGTCAATGCAGTCTTGCTGGGCCACCAAAAGCCAATAAATGTTGCATCTTAAATTTAGTGATTCATTCCTAATGTCTAGGCGATTAGAGTTTATGTCTTACATGTGAGGTTTGCGGAAAGAAAAACATTGGAAAGTAGATTTGCTCTATTCCCTTGTTTTGCCTCTGATATAAAATCACTCTGGGTAGATTCCAGGCCCAGCCACTGCTTGTCTCATGTGTAGCCGTTTTCATTAGTTAAGACAGGATGAATAGAGGCTTATGTTGCCTGGTTTCACCTCCCAGTGAAAGCGTTTTAACCATGACAGGCTTGTCAGTAAATCTCTTGTCTTCTGAGGTACCACATGTCCGAGAGTTTGGACCAATGGTGCTCCACAGACCTCACTCTATGTATATTTCAACAAGTTGCCTTCATAAAGTAGGCCACACTGAGAACCTAAGTTGTTTTAAATTTATTGACTTTGCATATTGAGATGTTTCCAAATGCATTACAATAAACAGAAGTGTCTGGATTAAAGTATAAAATTTAAGGTACACTTCCAATGTAAAAGTTTATTCTACTATTGTTAAATATAATGCTATGTTTACAAAATAATGAATAAAGTAAAAAGATATAGTGTAACAAAATGCTACATTATACAAATTCCAGAAATTAACCTGAATCTCAGATAAGTAAAATATAAAGTTTTACATGTAAAATCTACAAAAAGAGCTGGAATTGCTGGGACAGAAACACTGTCCCACTTCAACTCTTTATTGAGCAGCCTGAGAAAACAACAGTGTCATGTCAGCAAAATTTCATGATGCAATCCAAT